TTTTCCCTCTACGTCTTCTGACTGTGGCTGTGAAACCACAGTCAGGTACCGATCCTCTACGGTCGACTCTCCAGTCGAACTAGGATGTCCATGTTGCCCTTTGACGGCAACAGGTTTCTTTCTTGTCGGATGTTGCCCACTAGGCATGCATCTATGTCCCGGTCCACTCGACTTCTTCGAGTGGTGGGCCTTCGGCGCAGCCTGTACATCTGTACAGCCGCCGGGAGCTTGCTCCACAGTGTAGTGATAAACTACACTGTGATCTTGTGCAGTCGTGCTGACGACCGTACCGCAAGTGAGGCCATCGCACTCACTCGCAGTACATCCACACGCTTTTGGACGCTCCATGACGTTCATCAGATTGCCATCTGATGAACAAGCGGCAGTCATCTTCACGGATCGATGCTGCCAGCTCACCCTTGGCTCGTATCTCCTGAACCAAGGTAATCCTAGGATGACATCAAATTTGTCATCCAGATCTAGTACGATGAAATCATCATCGTACTGCTCGTCCTCTAACGTGTAGTGGATTCCCACTACACGTTTCTCAACGGTAATCGATGCGCCTGTAGCAAGGCGCACCGTCATCCTCGTGAGGGGAATGTCGCGCTCAACGAACTTGAGCCTACGATCGGCCAGTGACTGGCGACTAACAAAGTCGTTGGACGCCCCACAGTCTACTAGGGCACGAAGCGACAAATCATTTGTCGCTTCCAACTTCAAGGTGGTGAGTGAAATCTCATCACCAGGTGCAGAGACACACAATGATTGTGTATCTGGAGCAACTTTCGTCAAGAGATTTGCACATTCTCTTGAGGTTGCTGGGTCAGAAGGGCGCTCCGCCCCTACTGACCCCGACCATTTTTTGATGGTCAGCTCCGCTGTTGCGGTTTCGCAACAGCGCTGGACCCATGCTCATTGCCCTTTCTGGCAAATGGTCGTCCATTTCGCTCAGTACTGTTTGATGCTGGGCGAGGGACACTACACCCGTAAGCGATTGCACTTCTGCAACTGCTTGTTGTTTGAAGAGCGAGATCTCTCGCTCTCAATATTAGAAGTCCATGGGCTCTGGACATCCAGTCTCTTGTCGTCTCGGTGGATGATAAGAGCTCGAGCTAGCATCAGCCTGTCTCAGGCTAAAATTTTTCCTGTTTCGCAGCTGCGATTGCTTGTTCAAGCGTATCCAGATCTTAGCGGAACAGGTTATTCCTGACGGGCCCGTCTGCGAGCCCTTGCATGAACACAGTAATCAACGTGTGTTCATGTACTGGGTCAGCAGTTTTAATACTCGCGAGTAGTCGTATATGTTGAGCGTAAGCGTGCACATCACGCTTATACTGCTTTAGTTTCAGGAGCTCAGATCGAGTCCTAGACTCAGCCTGACGACGTTCAAACGTTTGTTTAAGCCGGGTCTTAAAGGCTTTTAGCGAACCGAAAGCATACGGGTCGCTCATCTCGATCCCTAAGGCCCAATTCTTGGCACATCCTGCCAAATGGGCTTGAGCAAATGTGAGTTACATTTGCTCATCGTCGATACGACGTGCCTTCAAGACTCTGTCTAGTTCGACGAACCATTAAAACCGGTAGTCTTCCTCGACTACTCTGTACTTGGAGATACCAATCTTTAAGATTTCGGAGAGACGCGTGTGCGTCGTCCCGCCCATAGCAGCAGTGAATTGCTGCTGTCTCAACAGCCCTGTCTGTTTAGCACCGAGTTCTCTCAACTGATCGGCCTGTTGAGATCCTTGTTGGTGAAGCAAGGCTACCTTTTCTCTTTCGGCGACAAGTTCATTTTGAATGAACCTGGCTATAGCGGCATGTTGTTGGTCCCTGTCAAGGGACTCCAACAAGGCGCTAATGGCGGTTGCGCCGATGGTAGAACTCATTCGTTCTACCGCCCTCCATTCGATGTCACTCAAATGGTTAAAGCCTTCACGCGTGGCGTGAAAGCTCTTCTCCTCATCCAACATGTTCATGTCGGATGAGGTGGTTGTGGTCGATGGACGGACTACAAAGTGGTACCAGGTGTAACGGGGCACGCCTTGTGTCAATTCAACACAAGGTTGTGTGCACCCGACGTCACGTACACGTGACCTGAGGAAGCGCAGCGAAGTAGGCAGAACTCGAAAGCTTTGTCTAAGGGAAAAAGTAAAGCTGTATTTAATATAGTTATGTTTCTTAATAAACCATCTTTGTCTTGAGCTAACTATATTAAACTACAATCTCCTATGTGGGGTTTCTTGCTCACCACCCATTGCGCGCGTCCAGCAGCGATTGGTGGTTAATCTAGTTGATGTACCGTGAACATCAACCATCAGGTAGAGCAACCCATCAAAGAAATATTACCATCGGTGGTAATATTCCTTCAACCTTACTCCTTACGAGTAACGTCAATTGAACATTATCGAAATAGAAAATGCTCAAGAATTTATACGAAGATATCAATTTGTATGTAACGGGCTCACCCCGTTACAATTCCGGTCGATTAAACATAGATTACCTTTCGAAATTGAAGGTGACATATGTCAACGCAACGCCGTATCGAAGGATAATGTCAGCCGTGCGGAATGACAAACTGCGGTACGCTAGCCAGTATTCCTAATTGTCGTTCCGTCAGTCTATTTGAACGAAGCAGTGCATACCGCTCATGCTTAGCTACCCAGTGCTAGAAAGTTGGCTCTCGGTCTGCATCGATCGTTACAATTCGTCTCCCCCCAAGCACGTGCGTGCACGCCTGCATGCAGTTGCTCATAGCATTTTGTTTCACGGCGTCTCTAAGCATTGATTACAAAAAAAGCGTCGTAATGGATCTTCGTCTTGTATTGGATGCATTGCGATAGATGCTAAAAAGGCATTCGATGACCAAGAATCTTCAGCCTTGTCGACTCGCTAATATAGCAAAAGATATCATGCGATGGATTACAAAAACGCACATCTAAAAACTTTGTCTGATACTAGGCGAAGTCAGGTAGTCTTCGTCGAAGGCTCGGCTATGAAGAGACGTGATAGGCATCGTATATAGGCTTGTGGCAATGCAGCACGTTAACGCTGAAGTGTAGTTGATATGGTAGTCTTACTGACATCAAGTCTACTGCTACTCTTTGAGTAGACCCCGATGACGAACGTACAACGGCACGTTGCATGTCATTATATTGGCCAAGCTAACATCTATGCATATGACGTACTTTAACGACTACGCTGCCGCATTTTGCCAAACCTTGAGGTCATCGTTGGACGCTTGCGTGCGACAAGGACTTACCTGTCGTTTTTCTAGCACACAAACGTCGACATCTAGTACAACAAGGAGAATGCATACTAGCCAAGCTTGTGCTTGTGTACTAGTCTCGCTTGTAGACGACAGGGTAGACACATGAAAGGTTTGTTGCCATTGACAACCGCTCTACCACATTGGGTCTCTTGATCAGCATTAGGTCTTCGCGCAGTTGTGATCTTTGCTTTCTTCTTTTTCTTTTTCTTTTCAGGACGACCAAAGTGTACATTTGTTTGTTCGGTTGTGCACAAGCGAACCCATGGAACTCTAGTGATCGCACCTCCACGCTCATACACGACCAGCAACGTCGATAGTGCAATGCGAAGAAGCCCGTGCAAGTAACACAAATCGTACCTAGACACATCTGTGAGCGTGGACCTGCTTCTGTTGTCATCGGGTGACGGCGTTGCGTTTGCGACGTGTCCGGCGACGGTCATAGAGATGCATCGGACTGACATATCCAATGAAAGTTGAGCTTGACAGCACAAGACGATGGGGTTTCTGAAACCTGGCTTGACCGGAAATCGGTCGCGCGAGATTAACGTGATTGCTGCCCGCGCTATTGACGGACTCCCTGCTCTAGCAGACCAAACAAACTCAATGCATATTGTACTATTGCATTGGTGTGGATATCCAGCGAATGACTTTGGAGCTGAGGCGGTGTTGTGCAAGCAAAAAGCATGGTTTTTTCCTCCATATCTGCGGCTATCTAACCAGGAAAGGTGCGTTGCTTGGCTTCCGTCACGCTTACGCAAGCGTTACCCCATGTCTTTTGTCTGCAATTGGTTTGAACCGTTGTTGTCGCCGAAGTTCGGTCACGTGCGTATACGCGGGCGCGAAACTGTTTGCTTTGAACTGTTTGATTGACAAGACACGACACGAGTCTAGAACCGACGCTCTTGTGTGGCGTCGTATCAACGAATTGAGAGAGAGAGAGAGAGAGAGAGAGAGAGAGAGAGAGAGAGAGAGAGAGAGAGAGAGAGAGAGAGAGAGAGAGAGAGAGAGAGAGAACGGACGTGCAGTCGGGTAGTGAAGAGCGCCTCGAGAGACGCTGATTCTTCAGATCGAATTGCATAGGCTTGTGCTAACCCGATCGACGTTGCCAACGCGGTTTCTCTGGACTTTGTAGCACAGCACATCACATGACAACAGCGTACGTCACGCGCGGCCAGTAGCTATGCGCCGCAGCGGTCAGACTGAATTGCGCGCAAGATCGCATGCTTATGCGTCAACCTGACATGTACGAACGCAAGCTGCAGAGCACTCACTTGCCAGCTACATCACACACACACTTACAACAACTCATGAACTTGTATTTTTTCATACGAAACATCTCGCGCTAGCTAAGTCAACAGAAACTGGTGCGGGCGGTGTCTAGCATCCCACATGTAAATGGCGTCCGAGCAACGCGGTGTCCAGCTTTACGCATACACCTTGCCAGACTTTACCACCGGAGTACCAGAGGTCGGGTCGGGACACGGAGTTTTCGGCGTGTCCGACTCCTCGGCCTTGTCGTCAACAGCGGGCGATTTGCCACCGCCGAAGGTAGGCCCAGACGCACCTTGAACACCTCCTGAGCTTGCACCACCCGATATGTCGCGGTCCGTGCCGACCGAGGCACCTCCTCCGGCAGCACCACCAACACCTGCACCAGCGCCGACTCCACCGCCTATGCCGACACCAGCAGCACCACCAAGCCCGCCTCCGACGCCGGCACCTCCTCCGACGCCTACGCCACCGACACCACCAACGCCGCCTCCGACGCCGGCAACTCCTCGGACACCAGCTCCGCCACCGACACCAGCCGCACCTCCAAGCCCGCCTCGGACACCAGCTCCGCCACCGACGCCAGCCGCACCGCCGACGCCGGCACCTCCTCCGACACCAGCTCCGCCACCGACACCAACCGCACCTCCAAGCCCGCCTCGGACACCAGCTCCGCCACCGACGCCAGCCGCACCGCCGACACCGGCACCTCCTCCGACACCAGCTCCGCCACCGACACCAACCGCACCTCCAAGCCCGCCTCGGACACCAGCTCCGCCACCGACGCCAGCCGCACCGCCGACGCCGGCACCTCCTCCGACACCAGCTCCGCCACCGACACCAACCGCACCTCCAAGCCCGCCTCGGACACCAGCTCCGCCACCGACGCCAGCCGCACCGCCGACGCCGGCACCTCCTCCGACACCAGCTCCGCCACCGGCACCAACCGCACCTCCAAACCCGCCTCGGACACCAGCTCCGCCACCGACGCCAGCCGCACCACCGACGTCAGCCGCACCGCCGACGCCGGCACCTCCTCCGACACCAGCTCCGCCACCGACACCAGCCGCACCTCCAAGCCCGCCTCGGACACCAGCTCCGCCACCGACGCCAGCCGCACCGCCGACGCCGGCACCTCCTCCGACACCAGCTCCGCCACCAACACCAGCCGCACCTCCAAGCCCGCCTCGGACACCAGCTCCGCCACCGACGCCAGCCGCACCGCCGACGCCGGCACCTCCTCCGACACCAGCTCCGCCACCGGCACCAACCGCACCTCCAAACCCGCCTCGGACACCAGCTCCGCCACCGACGCCAGCCGCACCACCGACGTCAGCCGCACCGCCGACGCCGGCACCTCCTCCGACACCAGCTCCGCCACCGACACCAGCCGCACCTCCAAGCCCGCCTCGGACACCAGCTCCGCCACCGACGCCAGCCGCACCGCCGACGCCGGCACCTCCTCCGACACCAGCTCCGCCACCAACACCAGCCGCACCACCAAGCCCGCCTCGGACACCAGCTCCGCCACCGACGCCAGCCGCACCGCCGACGCCGGCACCTCCTCCGACACCAGCTCCGCCACCAACACCAGCCGCACCACCAAGCCCGCCTCGGACACCAGCTCCGCCACCGACGCCAGCCGCACCGCCGACACCGGCGCCTCCTCCGACACCAGCTCCGCCACCGACACCAACCGCACCTCCAAGCCCGCCTCGGACACCAGCTCCGCCACCGACGCCAGCCGCACCGCCGACGCCGGCACCTCCTCCGACACCAGCTCCGCCACCGACACCAACCGCACCTCCAAGCCCGCCTCGGACACCAGCTCCGCCACCGACGCCAGCCGCACCACCGACGTCAGCCGCACCGCCGACGCCGGCACCTCCTCCGACACCAGCTCCGCCACCGACACCAGCCGCACCTCCAAGCCCGCCTCGGACACCAGCTCCGCCACCGACGCCAGCCGCACCGCCGACGCCGGCACCTCCTCCGACGCCGACGCCGACGCCGCCGACACCACCAATGCCGCCTCCGACGCCGGCAACTCCTCGGACACCAGCTCCGCCACCGGCACCAGCCGCACCTCCAAGCCCACCTCCGACGCCGACCCCGACGCCGCCTACACCACCAAGGCCGCCTCCGACGCCGGCAACGCCTCGGACACCCCCACCAATCCCGCCACCGAGACCAGCAGCACCACCAAGGCCACCTCCAATGCCGATACTTCCTCGGACACCTCCTCCAATCCCGCCACCGAGACCGCCACCGACACCAGCAGCACCTCCAAGGCCGCCTCCAATGCCGACACCACCAAGGCCGCCTCCGACGCCGATACTTCCTCGGACACCTCCTCCAATCCCGCCACCGAGACCAGCAGCACCACCAAGGCCACCTCCAATGCCGATACTTCCTCGGACACCTCCTCCAATCCCGCCACCGAGACCGCCACCGACACCAGCAGCACCTCCAAGGCCGCCTCCAATGCCGACACTTCCTCCAATACCTCCTCCAGCTGCGCCGCCGATGCCTCCGTTGCCCCGCGAGAAACCGCCACCGGCACCACCGGTGGCAACTCCACCGCCAGCACCGCCGCTAGCACCGCCTGCTGCGCCAGCACTAGCTCCACCTCTAGTTGTGGTGCTGCCACTGCTAGAGGTACCGCCACTCGTGTAGCTGTGGCTGCGAGAAGTAGCCGAAACGTGGCTGCTTTCGTCGTCACTTTCGTGCTCGCTGCTGCTTCGGTGCGTAGAAGACGTACGTGAGGAGACGTCGTGTTTGTTGCTGTCCCGTTCGGACAGAGACGCTGTTGGGAAATCGTTGCCAGTGGACGGTGTACGTGCAGTGGCCGGAGCCACAGCAGGATTCACGCTGCGTGGACCGGCGGAATCTTGGTCAACGTCTTCATTCGAGACGTCGTGGCTTTGGGTCTCGTGGCTGTACGTGCCAGCTTCCGCGAACGACCCCATTGCAGCCGCAATGAGCACGAGGTGAGAAATGATCTTGGTTGGGTTCATGTTTGGACGACGAGACGAAAGGTGGGACGGAGAAGACTGGAACTTGGACGGGTAGACAGAACGTGAACAACACTTGACTCTGCTGCTGCTGAGTGCAAAGGGAATTGAAAACTGAGTGAGCATCAACCAGGTCTGCTCGATCTCGTTGACGTCCAGCGGGCACCGGTTGTGCCACCTGTGTACATGTAGACGCTGGTCATGCTATGCGTGCGCATGTAGACACTTTCCTCTACCATCGACACGACAAAGGCCCTGTGCTGCATTTATTTTCGACACGATCAGACCTCGTGCCGCAAGCTGTTTCAACGTGCCATCTGAACGTACCGAGGAAACGACGCGATCGGTCGTGCGACGGAGAAAGCAGCACAACAACGACTAGAGCCACCGCATGATCGGAAACGCAACCCATCGCGACTGACGAGCTAGCGCCAGGGCGCAAGTGTTGTTTGTTGACCAGCCAGCTGTCTCTCGAAATACACGATACGGCAAAAGCTAGACATACATCACGTAGACTTCCGTCAACGAACAGGGCTTCGAGACATGGTAATCCTCGAATATTCTGCGGTCATACGATGCAGTGAATCAGGGCCAACACAAGCTGCTCGCACACACAGAGCCGTCAGAGCCGCGGAACGAAGTAATGCAGGAGACACGGCCGCAAGGTATGTAAGAGACACGGCAGCTTTTGACACGCAATCGGTGCACGTGGGATCGCTATGTAACAGAGCAGCGTTCTTTCGTGGGAGAGGTCGCGTCCGCGCAGCAGGGCAGGCGTGCAGACGTTTGACACATGTGGTATCGGAAACGGTCAACTGATGCCGGAAATAGCATCGCACGATGCGCTGACGCAGTACGCATGGAGACGTGGTCGTGTCCGCAGAACCCGTTCGAATCTTGTGGCACGGAGATAAAGAGCGATGCAGGCTCACGAGACGATTGGTATTCGTGGTGGTGAGTAGAAAAGCGAGATAGATTGCGCGATTGGGCCACTAAACCAGTTTTGGCTGCGAAGTCCGTGACATATTCGTTCTTTCTTCTAGCAGAGGGGTTGGAAAGCGCAATAGAATACGGCGCAAAGGGGTACAGCACAATACTGGTGTGTGTGGGGGGGGGCTGTGGAATACGGTGTAAAGAGACGCAGTAGATCATTGCGGGGGACCGAAGAACACGTCTCTCAACAAGCAGGTGGTCTTTGCAGTGGAATGCACTTCAACTCTGTTCCCCGGCACGTTGTCGATTTCGTTCGTGGCGAAAAGGAAACGAAACTGAATAAACAGAAGTGTGCCAGAACGCAGCTATGGCGCCATGATAGTCACTTTGCGTACGTAGAGTAGGAGACAAGGGAGCTGGGCATCACTGGTGCCGACACGCAAGACAGATTATCTTGTGTGCTCGGTCGGCGTCTTGTTGGACTCTTGTATACCATCAGTCACGAAACTTTGTCTCATCATAGACATCTTGTAAAAACGTTATTACCGCGAGCCAATGTACCGGCAAGAAGCCTACCTTTTACAATACCGGGAAGGCGACGCGTAAGCAAATGGACAGTATGTGCCACCAAAGGTTTAGTCAACGACTGTCCTCGGTATCCCAAGCATTTGTGGCTGAATATTTCGGTTTGTCGCTCATTTCGAACCAAACGCATGTTGCAGGAGATGAGCACAGTTAGAGTCATGACTCTCTTTGGACGGTCGGTTCTACGGTTTCGTAGGTAAACGCACCATCCCGACATGGAGGAGACGGGCAACTCTTTGCGCAAGTAATGCTGGCTGTGGCTGATACTCTCATTTGCTATGATGAACCGCCTTCGTTGCAAGTACGGCCTATTGACGGTGCCCAGGGGTGCTGTACCTCCTATGTTTCGACGGAGGACCCCGAAGGAGAAAACCTAGACTGGGTGGAGCTGCATCCGTCATTGTCCAACTCTACATTCAGACGCGCGCCGCATGCGTTATGTGGGTCTCGAGCATGACCTAGGTCTCTGCAGATACCACTAACAATGTTGCGGAATATTGAGGGCTCGTGCACGATCTTCGACAAGCGAAGGAAATCGGCGACTCTCCCCTCTATGTCATTGCAGATAGTGCTCTGGTATTTTCGCAACTTCGAACGCGACACCCTCCACGCAAGTCACGCTTGGTGCGGCTATTTAGAGAGGCACGAGCCGTAGCTACCGTAAACGATGTCTCCAGCTGAGGACATCATTATCGTTTCTACAACAAATTGGCGGATCGACTGGCGGATATCGCAATGGACACACGGGTTTATTTTCAAGGGCACGATATCTCAGACCAAGGTGCTATCAAGGGGACTACGAACTTCCTTGACAAAGATGTTAACCACTGGCTGGAGACCACTCGAGCCGAACAATACGTACTACAGGACCCGCGCTGACACCGAAGATTCTAATCCTATCGAGACAATACTGTGCGCGACGGCGCCCTGCTGTCCGAGGACTAGTATCGCCTAGTATGTAAAGTAGTAGTCCGCCACGGTAACTTTGTTGCCAATGACAGGAGATAGCGGGTCATACGCAAACCTACATAATCCTAACCTTCTAATACAAGAGTCCAACAAGACGCCGACCGAGCACACAAGATAATCTGTCTTGCGTGTCGGCACCAGTGATGCCCAGCTCCCTTGTCTCCTACTCTACGTACGCAAAGTGACTATCATGGCGCCATAGCTGCGTTCTGGCACACTTCTGTTTATTCAGTTTCGTTTCCGTTTCGCCACGAACGAAATCGACAACGTGTCGGGGAACTGAGTTGAAGTGCATTCCACTGCAAAGACCACCTGCTTGTTGAGAGACGTGTTCTTCGGTCCCTCGCAATGATCTACTGCGTCTCTTTGCACCGTATTCCACAGCCCCCCCCCCCACACACACCAGTATTGTGCTGTACCCCTTTGCGCCGTATTCTATTGCGCTTTCCAACCCCTCTGCTAGAAGAAAGAACGAATATGTCACGGACTTCGCAGCCAAAACTGGTTTAGTGGCCCAATCGCGCAATCTATCTCGCTTTTCTACTCACCACCACGAATACCAATCGTCTCGTGAGCCTGCATCGCTCTTTATCTCCGTGCCACAAGATTCGAACGGGTTCTGCGGACACGACCACGTCTCCATGCGTACTGCGTCAGCGCATCGTGCGATGCTATTTCCGGCATCAGTTGACCGTTTCCGATACCACATGTGTCAAACGTCTGCACGCCTGCCCTGCTGCGCGGACGCGACCTCTCCCACGAAAGAACGCTGCTCTGTTACATAGCGATCCCACGTGCACCGATTGCGTGTCAAAAGCTGCCGTGTCTCTTACATACCTTGCGGCCGTGTCTCCTGCATTACTTCGTTCCGCGGCTCTGACGGCTCTGTGTGTGCGAGCAGCTTGTGTTGGCCCTGATTCACTGCATCGTATGACCGCAGAATATTCGAGGATTACCATGTCTCGAAGCCCTGTTCGTTGACGGAAGTCTACGTGATGTATGTCTAGCTTTTGCCGTATCGTGTATTTCGAGAGACAGCTGGCTGGTCAACAAACAACACTTGCGCCCTGGCGCTAGCTCGTCAGTCGCGATGGGTTGCGTTTCCGATCATGCGGTGGCTCTAGTCGTTGTTGTGCTGCTTTCTCCGTCGCACGACCGATCGCGCCGTTTCCTCGGTACGTTCAGATGGCACGTTGAAACAGCTTGCGGCACGAGGTCTGATCGTGTCGAAAATAAATGCAGCACAGGGCCTTTGTCGTGTTGATGGTAGAGGAAAGTGTCTACATGCGCACGCATTGCATGACCAGCGTCTACATGTACACAGGTGGCACAACCGGTGCCCGCTGGACGTCAACGAGATCGAGCAGACCTGGTTGATGCTCACTCAGTTTTCAATTCCCTTTGCACTCAGCAGCAGCAGAGTCAAGTGTTGTTCACGTTCTGTCTACCCGTCCAAGTTCCAGTCTTCTCCGTCCTACCTTTCGTCTCGTCGTCCAAACATGAACCCAACCAAGATCATTTCTCACCTCGTGCTCATTGCGGCTGCAATGGGGTCGTTCGCGGAAGCTGGCACGTACAGCCACGAGACCCAAAGCCACGGCGTCTCGAATGAAGACGTTGACCAAGATTCCGCCGGTCCACGCAGCGTGAATCCTGCTGTGGCTCCGGCCACTGCACGTACACCGTCCACTGGCAACGATTTCCCAACGGCGTCTCTGTCCGAACGGGACAGCAACAAACACGACGTCTCCTCACGTACGTCTTCTACGCACCGAAGCAGCAGCGAGCACGAAAGTGACGACGAAAGCAGCCACGTTTCGGCTACTTCTCGCAGCCACAGCTACACGAGTGGCGGTACCTCTAGCAGTGGCAGCACCACAACTAGAGGTGGAGCTAGTGCTGGCGCAGCAGGCGGTGCTGGTGGCGGTGCTAGCGGCGGTGCTAGCGGTGGAGCTGCCACCGGTGGTGCCGGTGGCGGTTTCTCGCGGGGCAACGGAGGCATCGGCGGCGCAGCTGGAGGAGGTATTGGAGGAAGTGTCGGCATTGGAGGCGGCCTTGGAGGTGCTGCTGGTGTCGGTGGCGGTGGCGGTGGCGGTGTCGGTGGCGTAGCTGGTGTCGGTGGCGGGATTGGAGGAGGTGTCCGAGGAAGTATCGGCATTGGAGGTGGCCTTGGTGGTGCTGCTGGTCTCGGTGGCGGAGCTGGTGTCGGTGGCGGGATTGGAGGAGGTGTCCGAGGAAGTATCGGCATTGGAGGTGGCCTTGGTGGTGTCGGCGGCGTCGGCGTCGGAGGCGGCCTTGGTGGTGTAGGCGGCGTCGGCGTCGGCGTCGGAGGCGGGCTTGGTGGTGCTGCTGGTGTCGGTGGTGCAGCCGGTGTCCGAGGAGTTGCGGGCGTCGGAGGCGGTCTTGGTGGTGTCGGCGGCATCGGCGTCGGCGTCGGAGGCGGGATTGGTGGTGCTGCTGGTGTCGGTGGTGCAGCCGGTGTCCGAGGAGTTGCCGGAGTCGGAGACGGTCTTGGTGGTGTCGGCGGCATCGGCGTCGGCGTTGGAGGAGGTGCCGGCGTCGGAGGTGGCGTTGGTGGTGCTGCTGGTGTCGGTGGTGCAGCCGGTGTCCGAGGCGGGCTTGGAGGTGCGGTTGGTGTCGGTGGCGGAGCTGGTGTCGGAGGAGGTGCCGGCGTCGGCGGTGCGGCTGGCGTCGGTGGCGGAGCTGGTGTCCGAGGCGGGCTTGGAGGTGCGGTTGGTGTCGGTGGAGGAGCTGGTGTCGGTGGCGGAGCTGGTGTTGGAGGAGGTGCCGGCGTCGGCGGTGCGGCTGGCGTCGGTGGCGGAGCTGGTGTCCGAGGCGGGCTTGGAGGTGCGGTTGGTGTCGGTGGCGGAGCTGGTGTCGGTGGCGGAGCTGGTGTTGGAGGAGGTGCCGGCGTCGGCGGTGCGGCTGGCGTCGGTGGCGGAGCTGGTGTCCGAGGCGGGCTTGGAGGTGCGGCTGGTGTCGGTGGCGGAGCTGGTGTCCGAGGAGTTGCCGGCGTCGGAGGCGGCGTTGGTGGTGTCGGTGGCGTAGGCGTCGGAGGAGGTGCCGGCGTCGGAGGCGGGCTTGGTGGTGCTGCTGGTGTCGGCATAGGCGGTGGAGTCGGCGCTGGTGCAGGTGTTGGTGGTGCTGCCGGAGGAGGTGCCTCGGTCGGCACGGACCGCGACATATCGGGTGGTGCAAGCTCAGGAGGTGTTCAAGGTGCGTCTGGGCCTACCTTCGGCGGTGGCAAATCGCCCACTGTTGACGACAAGGCCGAGGAGTCGGACACGCCGAAAACTCCGTGTCCCGACCCGACCTCTGGTACTCCGGTGGTAAAGTCTGGCAAGGTGTATGCGTAAAGCTGGACACCGCGTTGCTCGGACGCCATTTACATGTGGGATGCTAGACACCGCCGGCACCAACTTCTGTTGACTCAGCTAGCGCGAGATGTTTTGTATGCAAAAATACAAGTCCATGAGTTGTTGTAAGTGTGTGTGTGATGTAGCTGGCAAGTGAGTGCTCTGCAGCTTGCGTTCGTACATGTCAGGTTGACGCATAAGCATGCGATCTTGCGCGCAATTCAGTCTGACCGCTGCGGCGCATAGCTACTGGCCGCGCGTGACGTATGCTGTTGTCATGTGATGTGCTGTGCTACAAAGTCCAGAGAAACCGCGTTGGCAACGTCGATCGGGTTAGCACAAGCCTATGCAATTCGATCTGAAGAATCAGCGTCTCTCGAGGCGCTCTTCACTACCCGACTGCACGTCCGTTCTCTCTCTCTCTCTCTCATTTCGTGGATACGACGCCACACAAGAGCGTCGGTTCTAGACTCGTGTCGTGTCTTGTCAATCAAACAGTTCAAAGCAAACAGTTTCGCGCCCGCGTGTACGCAATAACAAACAAAGTCATCTGCTCGTGACCGAACTTCGGCGACAACAACGGTTCAAACCAATTGCAGACAAAAGACATGGGGTAACGCTTGCGTAAGCGTGACGGAAGCCAAGCAACGCACCTTTCCTGGTTAGATAGCCGCAGATATGGAGGAAAAACCATGCTTTTTGCTTGCACAACACCGCCTCAGCTCCAAAGTCATTCGCTGGATATCCACACCAATGCAATAGTACGATATGTATTGAGTTTGTTTGGTCTGCTAGAGCAGGGAGTCCGTCAAAAGCGCGGGCAGTAATCACGTTAATCTCGCGCGACCGATTTCCGGTCAAGCCAGGTTTCAGAAACCCCATCGTCTTGTGCTGTCAAGCTCAACTTTCATTGGATATGTCAGTCCGATGCATCTCTATGACCGTCGCCGGACACGTCGCAAACGCAACGCCGTCACCCGATGACAACAGAAGCAGGTCCACGCTCACAGATGTGTCTAGGTACGATTTGTGTTACTTGCACGGGCTTCTTCGCATTGCACTATCGACGTTGCTGGTCGTGTATGAGCGTGGAGGTGCGATCACTAGAGTTCCATGGGTTCGCTTGTGCATAACCGAATAAACAAATGTACACTTTGGTCGTCCTGAAAAGAAAAAGAAAAAGAAGAAAGCAAAGATCACAACTGCGCGAAGACCTAATACTGATCAAGAGACCCAATGTGGTGGAGCGGTTGTCAATGGCAACAAACCTTTCATGTGTCTACCCTGTCGTCTACAAGCGAGACTAGTACACAAGCACAAGCTTGGCTAGTATGTATCCTTCTTGTTGTACTAGATGTCAACGGTGTTGTACTCGGCAAAGGACAGCAAAGTACTCGTCTTATGCAAGCGCACAGAACTAAACGTTACTCGCATCATCCTGTCCCGCGGTAGAGTACCGGCCTTAATGACTGTGTGATCACTAGTAGTCAAACGTATCGGCCGCACGTCAACCTGCGTCATCATGTTCGCACCGATAATAGATCCACCACACTTTTGGCTGACATCAGACACAGGGAGAAGAGGACAAAGGTCTCTAGCACACACGTCGGTCTGTGTGCTTTGATCTCGAGTGCATCTGCCTTCCTCGAGGACGCTCGAGTCCTGAACGCAATGCAGTTTAAGGTTCCAAAAGAGATCAAGTTATTAAAAATTACAATTTGTTGCGAGCTTTTGCGTTGTATCAAAAGCACTTTTACACCACAAAAAAGCGCTGCCCTCGTTGTGGCATACCGCTTGACCCGTTCGCTCGGTTCTATGACACAACAAACCAGTATTCCATCCACCGCTCGGTATCCCGCCGCCGACGTATATTCGTCGAAACCGCTACCGCATCAACACGAGCAAATCGTGACCGCGGCGCATCAACATTCATGTATTCGGTGACGCATGTTGATGCCAAAAGTCAGTGGCACGAGCCTCGTGCCCATCTCCATCCGTCGCTTCGTAGCTCCTCGTCGCCCCCTCCGCTTACAATCACTTTCGAATTCACCAGTCAGCCGTCACGTCCCCCACAATGGCTCTCTCCCCCACGTCGTCGCGTCCTCGCAAACAGTACCTCGCAGTCTCCAACGCCCCTCCCGTCTACTCGTCGGCGGACGAGCTCAACGCGTACTTTGGCGAATTCGGCGGCTGCTTCGTCGCCGAGACGCTGATCCAAGCGCATCACGACCTCATCAACGCGTACGTGAAAGCCACGCAGGACCCGTCGTTTCGGGAGGAGCTCGAGCAGTTGGGCCGCGACTACATTGGCCGCCCCACGCCGCTGTACCACGCCAAGCGCCTCACGGCGCACGCCCACGGCGCGCAGATCTGGCTCAAGCGCGAGGACTTGGCGCACACGGGGGCGCACAAGATCAACAATGCTTTGGGGCAAGCAGTGCTGGCCAAGCGGCTGGGCAAGACGCGGATCATTGCCGAGACGGGCGCGGGCCAACACGGCGTTGCAACTGCGACTGCCTGTGCGCTGTTGGGCATTGACTGTGTGGTCTACATGGGCTATGTCGACACGCAGCGCCAGTCACTGAATGTCTTTCGAATGAAGATGCTCGGGGCCAAAGTCATTGCCGTCAAGAGCGGCTCGCAGACGCTCAAAGACGCCGTGAACGAAGCGATTCGGGACTGGGTCACGAACGTGCACGACACGCACTACATTATTGGCTCGGCCATTGGGCCACACCCGTTCCCGACGATTGTGCGTGACTTCCAAGCGATCATTGGTCGCGAGATCAAAGCGCAGCTGCAGGAAGAGATTGGCCGGCTACCGGATGCCATTGTTGCCTGTGTGGGTGGAGGCAGCAACGCGATTGGCATGTTCCATCCGTTTGTCAAGGACAACGAGGTGGCTATCTATGGCGTGGAAGCTGGCGGCGACGGTGTGGACACGCCTCGTCACTCGTCGACATTACTGGGTGGCCGATTGGGTGTGCTGCACGGCACCAAGACATATGTCATGCAAGACCTGGCAGGTCAGGTCATCGAGACGCACTCGGTGTCTGCCGGTCTCGACTACGCCGGCGTTGGTCCTGAGCACGCGTTCCTGAAAGATTCTGGCCGTGCCACGTACGTGAGTGTGACGGACAAGGAGGCACTTGAAGCGTTTCAGCTCCTTTCCCAGCGCGAGGGCATCATCCCAGCGCTCGAGAGTGCTCATGCCGTACATTTCGGCGTGAAGCTAGCTTCAACGCTCTCTCCTGACCAGGTTGTCGTCATCAACGTCAGTGGCCGTGGCGATAAGGATATGCTGCAGGTCGCCAAGGAGCTCGGTGTGAATCTCAATGACGACCTCACTGATAACTAACGACACGACAAAAAAGAATCGCGAGTGCATGAAGAAGAGCGACTAAATAAGAGCGCTTGTTATCCGTTGTTACCTGCTTATTGTCGATTGTTCGTCTGTTTGAAAGCACAGCTTCATCGGTCGTACTATGTTCATGGAGGAATCCCAGCTGTCGCCTATGCTCTAGCGGTTGCGTCTCGGCGTGCTGGCTAACGAGCCTGTCGTGGTCTTGCCGCTGAGGTCATCGCTACCGAGGTGGCTTGCATCCGGAATCGGCTCGTATCCCTCCTTGGAGTTCTCGGCATTGTCCGAGCTCTTTCCCCACAACGTGTAGAGAAGGAAGTACAGCACAAAGATCTCGACGAAATGCTTGGACGCGACAAAAAGCCACCACCACTTGTCTTCCAGATACACTCCTGCCTCGTGAAAATGTGCCAGACTCACGAGCGAGTACGTGAGGAACACGGTGTTGGCGATGAGGAAAAACGCGCAAATGGACGTTGCCCAGTTCACAGCTTTGATCCGGTCTGTTGTGTCAATCTGGCTGACCTCAAGAAACGCCAGCAGCACAGTCTTCATCCGGAACGAGTACACCAGTACCGCCGCCAACGATCCGATCGACAGGAGACACATGACAACGTCGTCGTAGATCAGGAGCCAGTATGAATCCACTCGCTTTGTTGCAAAGAGAGCAAAGCCGATGGCTTGGATCGTTCCCATTGCACCCATGACAGCGGCAAAGAGTCGCAAGGGATGCGACCGGACGCTCTCGTGCGTAAAGAGACGACGGAGCATGTCGGCCCAGAAGACGACCACAAGCACAAAGACACTGTATAGGAGGAACGAGCCGAGCAGCTCAACCGTTTCGGCAGCTAGGAACTCCGTCCAGCCGTCATCGCCCATCATGATCCGAGGTGGTGTCGTACGCACCGACTGGGCACCATAAGGCGTCGAAAACCAGAGCACGCGCGTGAGGGACGCTAGTCCCATGAGCAGATAAAAGCCAAGCGTCGCGGCCTGACGCGTGGGGGACTGGGCATGCATGGCGAACGCCCAGAAGGAGAAGAAACAGGCACCTCCATAGGCCAGGGCGAGGATAGTGTCCACTTGACGGTAGAAGAACTCCACGTAAAGTAACGGCGCTACAAGACAAAAACAGGAGGAAAAAGAACAACAAGACGAGTCACGTGAGCGATACAGACGGACATGGGGCAGAGTGTGATGCAAAAGAGGCAGACGATCGCAGAGCAGCAGCGGAGCGCGACGGCACAATAGGAAGAGATGCAGAGGACTATGGGCGACCAGTTGAGGCATCACGGAGCGCGCGACAGGGACGACGACGTACCGTGGGGGTCGCCAGCGAGCGGTAAAGCGGACGCCGCCATGACTTGCAGGGGTCGTATCCGGCACTCGGACAGAAGCGCTGTTGATTCGTGTGGTGGACATCAAGATGCTATCCGGTCAACACCGTGTTTGGAACACTGACAAAGACGACATCGTCAATACTTGTGCGAATAATAACTACAAATGTACAAATTGCTCACAAATATCAAAAGAGCACAACATTCAAAGTACAGTCTTCCCTCTGCTAAGTTATAGACTTGGTGGAAGGCAAATCTTATAACATAGCAGAGGTTATTCCATAGCAGAGATATGCTGCGGAAAAAACATTAATTTAATTAATTAAAGAATCAAAAACGCAACAAACCTCCAGGCTTCCAAAACCTGTCTGGCACGTGTCACGTGCCCTTTGACGATTTTGTGATTTTGGTTGCCCCACCAGTCTCTGGTGATTTTGCTATCTCTGGTTAAGAAGTTCCACCAACTGTACCTTGCTCACTCACAACAGATGTCGCAGATACGTCTTACCAACGAGCAGAAGCTGCGCATCTGCAAGCACCAGGATGCTAACCCGCGCATCACCCAGACTGCCCTGGCTGTAACGGGGCACACCCTTGCGTAACTTAACGCAAGGGATTTGGGTGCCCCGACGGACGTACACGTGGCGAGCGAGGAAGCGTAGGTAGGGTAAAAGTAGAACTGTTATATTAATAAATTAAGTCTTTAAACTACTGTCTTTTCGTTTGACTTAATTCAATTATACTAATATAACTGCATGTATGGTGACGTCTCGTCACCACTCATTGCGCGCGTCTTGCGGCGATTGGTGGGTTGATATCATCACGATATCAACCAATGAACAGACCCTTTGGTCGACCCTTCAATATCACCACTTTGGTGATATTGTTTAAAGAATATCCATCTTATATTCTTTATTGTCACTTTCCTTAAGTGACAATATCATGTAACGGGCTGCCCCGTTACATCACCCCCCCTTAACTGATAGTCACCGTGTGACTATCGAAATATGGAGGCCACCCGTTGGCCATCATTGGGACAGGGAGCACTTGTTTGGTCCGTTCCACTCACTTTCCGCTTGACCTCGCATAGTTAACATGTCTATGCGAGGTGACTCAAGACCCACACAGCCTGGTGCTGTGCAAGCCTCTGCGGCAGACGCTTCGTCGTCTGCCGCCCCTTCTTCGCCTGCAGCAACAGGTGCTGCAGGTGCACGCGGTATCACGCCGCGTGCGCACGATGACCCCGATGTGGAGGTCATCTACTCTGGCGAGTCAGACGTGTCTGACTCGGGCAATGCTCCAGAGGCGTCTCGCTCACCGGCGACGCCTCAGTATTCGCCAAGGCCACTGCCGAACGAACGGACTCGTGATTCGCATCACAGTCTGTTCGGCAGTGATGACGATGATCTGGGTGGTGAGTTCTATTCTTCACCACCGCCGGCTCGTGCGTCTTCGCACGAGCGTGATGACGATGGCGCGAGCCGTCGTCAATCTGGGAGCCGTGGTACCGACAAGGGTACCACTGTGAAGCGTGATGAGTTGAAGCCGTGGCGTTTGCCCGAACAACTCATCAATAGCCTGTCTCACGAGACAGGCCAACACCATCGAATACCCTTATTCGATGCGACTGAGCTTCACGGCTTGGATCCCAGCGCGAAGAACTTTCGCGCTGAAGAAGACTTTTATCTCGATGTCTTCCTTAGACATCGATGGTACAATAGCAACCAAAAGCGTGACAAAACATCGCTTTTGGCTGCGTGGAACGCGTTCGTCCAAAACGTAAAGAATTTTGGACGAGAAGGGTGGCTCAAGAAACTTGAGGCAACACGCCTCAGGTTCGAACGGCGAACGCCAACCGGTGCTAGGTACCGGTTGCATTGTTTATCGAGTGAGGCAGGCATTCCTTGCCTCACATGGGGAGACCCTTGTGCGAGTTGTGTTGACAACTCGCAGCGTGCACATAGGGATGTGTACTCCCTAAATTCGCCCTGGGGAAGGGCACATCTCTCGGACGAGATGCGTGACGCGATTGCAAACTTGCAATCCGTCTACAAGCGCCTAGGGCGCGTGTTTACCGATGGGCCACAGGACTCATCGGATGGGTCTCGTCATACTGGCGGACGAGACCTTCAACATCCATCAACAGCTGAGAGCGGGGCTCCCAGCTGTTCCAAGAGGGTGGATACCCCCGCCACTGGACGAGGTAGCTCGTCCTTGATCCTGAATCGTCACGGTGATTCAAGATACGCTCCACTAGAAAGCGTTGATCACCGTGAGCATCCACCAAAGGATGTGGTGGAGGAGGAAAGACCTCCTCCAGAACCCCAGGCCCACCATCTCGACCCTTACGAGATGGATCGCGCAATCGATGAATTGCGCGATGACTTGAAGCGCGAGCGCGACCGACGCTACGCTTTGACCGACACCGTGCGGAAGAACCGCAAGGGTCACGAGGCTGATCGGGCGAGGGATCGCGCCGATTATGCCACGGCGCAGCTTCAGGTCGAGCGGGATGTCCGCTCCTTTTCGGCGAGCTGGCGACAGCTCGCGGAGAGATAACTCGGTTGAATACCGAGATATCATATCTGCGCGACCAGACGGATCGTCTGGAGCGCGAACGCAAGAACTTGATGGATGTTCTTGAACGTGGGGGCTATCTTCATCGGAAGAAGAAGGCTCGTATTGACAGTACGACCTAAGCCTCCCCACGTAAAACGTAGGATGCGTGCGCATCCTACGTGGCAATTCGAGTGTGTATGCATTGCCCTTGCGATGCAACACTCGAAATGGCCCAATGTATTTCGGCAGTAGTTTACTACTGCCGACACTAGTGACTGCATGTCCAGGTAGGTTTACCGTTGACAGTAGTACTAGGTCGTTAACCTTAAATGAAAGAACATTTGCTCTTCCATTCTTGTCTGCGTTCCGTTTCTGACGGTCCACCGCATTTGCGATGGAGTCCTGAACGAAACGGACTACCGCTTCTCGAGTCAGCAGGAAGTTCTCTGCTGACTCTTTGTTTTGTCTAGCAGTGCGCTTCGTGCGCACTGCTAAGAGATTGCTCTCTTCTTCAGCGAGGTTGTCTTCTTCCTCGCTGGCATAATCGTTGGCGATGCTGAATATACCAGCATCGTCATCATCATCCGAATCAATAATAGCGTCTTCGCTATTATTGAGATGATCTTCTTCATCGATGTCGACTTGATCGACATCGGCATCATACGTGACGACGTTTGCGTCGACACGTGATGAGCAAGAGCCAAAACGGTTTTTGCTCGAGCGAGTCCCTCCCCCCTTATCCAAGAGTCACACTCTAGAAGGGTGGGCACACGTGGATGGCGTAGGCCATTCACGTAAAACGGTGTGTGCTGTGTTGAAGCATGCACCGAATTATTGATGGCGAATTCCACCATGGGTAGGAATTCGCTCCAACTCGGAAACGAGTGGACATATCCTCGAAGAATCTCTTCGAGGACACGGTTCGCACGTTCCGTCTGACCATCTGTTTCTGGATGGTCAGAAGTGGACATCTTCAATCGTGTTCCGAGAGTACGGAACACGGTTTGCCAAAATTCCGCCGTGAACCGAGGGTCACGGTCGGATACGAGTTCACGGGGTAACCCGTGGAGTCTAAAGACCGTGTCTAGAAAGACACGAGCACAACCTTGAGCCTTGATTGACTCAGGGACAGCAGCAAGATGGACCATCTTGCTGAATCGGTCCACAAACACAAGAATACCATTATTCTTGTGAGCGTCTTCGGGAAACCCGAAGACGAAGTCCATTGAAACGGACTGCCAGCACTCTGTCGGAACAGGCAGAGGCTGCAATGGCGCACGGGATGAAGGACTAGGCTTCACCCGTTGACATACTTCGCAAGCACGGATGTACTTGCGAACAAACTGATACTGGCGGGGCCAGTAAAAGTCGCGACTTACCGTGAGGTAAGTCTTTTCTCTACCACGATGGCCGCTTGTTGGGGCATCGTGACACTCATACATGATGCGCAATCGCAAATCATGATGAGCGGGTACGACGACACGAGGCGTGTCGTCGGCAACAGCTGTATAGTACAGCAATCCGTTGCGTGTACTATACCGATCCGATGAGGATCGGTACAAAGCCGGTAAATCCCTCATGGATTTACTGGATGGATTCACCAGATGATCCATCAATCGCAGAAGATCCTTATCTTCCGCGTATGCCTTTCGTACGTCGTCAAGTAAACTTGACGACGGGACACTGACTGACAGTGTCGCAACAGTGGGCTTGTCCTCACTGTTGGATTGCGCGTCCGGCTCGAAATCGGGCCGGCGCGAAAGAGCATCCGCGACGACATTGAGTCGTCCCGGTTTATACTCCACGGAGAAGTTATACTCCGCGAAGAAAGACAGCCACCTCGCCATTCTTTGCGAGAGGTGTGGGCTGTTTACGGCCGTGCGTAATGACGCATGGTCCGTGTAGACAACAAACGGTCTATCTCCCAAGAGATAGACGCGAAATTTAGCCAGTGCGTATTTCATGGCAAGGAGTTCCTTGTCATGCACTGGGTAATTACGCTCAGCTGCTTGCAGCTGACGCGATTGATAACAGATGACGCGCTCCGCGCCATCTGCATCGAACTGCATTAACGCACAGCCGATTGCGAAATCGCTGGCGTCACAGACCACATGAAATGGTCTGTCCTGATCTGCAATCGCCAAGATCGGCGATTGCATCAAGCTTTGCTTGATACCTTCAAAGGAACGCTGGCACTCAGCGTTCCATGACCACTTGACATTTTTCTTGAGCAAGCAAGAAAGATGTACCGTCATCTCGGCGTAGTTGCGCGAGTACTTGTGCAAGTACGCCGCAAGACCAAGGAACTTTCGAAGTCCCTTGACATCGACTGGCACTGGCCAGTCGGTGATCGCCTTGATCTTTTCGGGATCAGGGCGTACGCCGTGTTTCCCCACGATGCACCCAAGAAGTGGTATTTCGCTAGCCGCGAATATACACTTCTTGAGGTTGGCGTACAACTTATG